ATTTCTTTTGTGATTGTCTAAAATTCAACATGGTATCAGAGCGAGTTACATCCTACTGATTTTCTGGTGGCTTGCTCGTGTTATTGCTGCACACTGCTTCAACACGGATTGTTGCAATTTCCCATTGGTTGTTTTTTTTTTTTATTTGCTTTGAGTCATGGGTGATAAAGAGCAAGCTATTGCGGAGTCATCAAAGACCGTTGTGCAGGAGGCACACAATCAGCGACTCACGTCCTTGTTGCTGAATGGGAGGAACTTTCTGCCGTGGTCCCGAGCCGTCATGATTGCCCTTGGTGGACGATCTCAATTGGGTCACATCACTGGTCGAACAAAAATTCCTCAAGAGTCTGATCCCTCTTTTGAGGAATGGCAAGTCAATGATCACAAAGTCATGACATGGCTTTTCAATTCTATGGAATCTCAAATATATGAGATCTTTGCCTATTCTGATACTGCTCAAGCTCTGTGGAAATCTCTCGATGAGATGTATGGCCAAGCTAATAATTCTTCTCGAATTTTTGCATTGCAGCAAGGTTTGGCTTATTCCAAGCAAGGTGCGAATCAATCCTTTACTGAACATCTGGGTCACATGAAAAAACAATGGGATGAACTCCGCCAATATTGACCTGCCACCCAAACAATTGTTGATTATATCAAAAGAGAAGAGCAAGAAAAAAAATTTCAGTTATTGGCAAGTCTTAAGCCTGAGTTTGAAGATACCAGGAAACAAATTTTATCAAGTCCCGTGCTTCCCTCCTTCAATTCGGTGTGCTCTACTGTACAAAATGAGGAGACCCGCAAGCGGGTCATGAATTTGGCTCCACCTCCACTCACGGCCATGGGGGAAAACTTGGCCCACAATGCTACAATCACCACTAGTGCCACACCAAAAAATCAGCAAGGTGAGTCTAGTGCTTTGGTGTCCAATGTGCGTTTTGCCAAGGGAAAATCCAAGAAATCAGTTCGCTTTCATTGCGATCACTGTAATCGTGATGGGCACTCTAAAGACCGTTGTTGGGTTCTTTATCCACACCTTCGTCCCGCCAAAGACAGAGGTCCGAATGCTCAGATTGCAGTGCATAGTAATGGGGTAGAATTTCAAACCCAGTTGGAATCTCTTGCACTTCAAGTCCAGCAATTACTTCAGACCCATGGTCAGGGAGAAGCTTCTTTTACCACCTCGAACACTGCAAATCTTGCTAAGGCTTCGGGTAATGTGTATGCTAATTTTGCTCTTTCTCACACTCAGTTTATAGTTGATTCTGGGGCCACAGACCACATGTGTCATTCTCCCTATGTATTATCTAATATTACTTCAAGTAGCTTACATCCTACTATTACTATTGCTAATGGTGGGCAAGTTCCTACTACGGGGAGTGGACAGCTCCAATTTTTTTCAAAATAGTCTGAGGCTTTATTGGTCCCTACATTATCATCTAATTTGATGTCAGTCAGTAAGTGTGCTAAACAGTGGAATTGCAAGGTTATTTTTACTCCGCAAAAGGTGCTCTTCTAGGATCGCACTACCAAGAGGATGATTGGTGAAGGCACACTGAAGAATGGGTTGTACATGTTGGAGTCTCACCCTGCAGTTTCGATGGCAAGTAAGGCTGTTGCCGACACGTCTCGCTTATGGCATTGGCACATGGGTCATCCCTCTGATCGCGTACTCCGTATTCTTGACTTGTCCCTCAGTCATGATTCTAGCACTTGTGATCCCTGTCACTTTGCTAAGCAGCATAGACTGCCTTTTTCTCTTAGCACAAATAAATGTACTGAATTATTTGGTTTAGTACATTCTGATGTTTGGAGTTCTCCTATTATTTCTAAGGAAGGTTTTCACTATTTTGTCACATTTATTGATGATAAATCTCGAGCTACTTGGCTTTATATTCTTAAGTCAAAGACTGAAGTTCTTCGTGTCTTTCAAGAATTTTGCAGCATGGTAAAAAATCAATTTAATACTGCTGTGAAAGTTCTCCGTACAGACAATAGCACTGAATATACTAATCAACAGTTTCAAAATTTTTTACACAACTTGGGCATCCTTCATCATACCTCCTGTGTTGGTACTCCTCAACAGAACGGCATTGCTGAACGAAAAAATCGCCATATTCTTGAAGTAACTCGGGCTTTATTGTTCTCTGGTCACTTGCCAAAACCTATTGGGCCGATGCTGTTCTCACGGCTTGTTACTTAATTAACCGACTCCCTAGTCGGGTTTTGGGCTACACGACCCCCATGGCAGTGGTACATGGTCGGAAATTCGACCTTTCTCATTTGAGGATATTTGGGTGCATCTGCTATGTTCATTCTCAAACCGGTGGTAAACTTGATCCTCATGCTAGGAAATGTGTGTTTGGTGGGTATTCCTCCGTCAAGAAAGGCTACCGGTGTTACGACCCGAGTACCCACCGAGTATATATCTCTCGTGATGTGTTTTTTGATGAAGCTCACATGTTCTTCTCTGATAGGAACCAAACTCAGGGGGAGTACACTGATGACTATAGAGAATTCTCTCTTGATTTTGTTCCTGTCCCAATACCTCCCGAGGAGACGCCATATGTCAGGAGTCCTACAGGTTCTGCAAGCTCATGCTCAGAAGTGGTTCATGACCACTCATGTGATTCTGATATCACCGCTAATAGTGATGCCTTCCCAGCTGCTAATCTAGAAGTTGTTCCTGAAGGTATAATGAATGAAAATGCAGCAGAAGAGGTGCCAACAGCTATTTCACTTCGAAGGTCATCACGTGTTACTCGACCTTCAACACGTCTTCGGGATTTCTCCACTTATTACACTGTTCATCATCCTATCCAGAAATTTATTGGGTATGACAAAATTTCTCATAACCACTTCAGTTTTTTATCTGCTATTGAGGAGCAACAGGAACCTACTAGCTACTTGGAAGCAAAGGATAAAGGTGTATGGATTGACGCCATGAAAGATGAACTTCAAGCCTTGGATCGTAATCACACTTGGGAGTTGGTACAATTGCCAAAGGAGAAAAACACTATTGGATGTCGATGGATTTACAGAATCAAGTATAATAGTGATGGTTCTATTGAGAGATATAAAGCTCGCCTTGTTGCCAAAGGATACACTCAGACATATGGGATAGACTACAAAGAGACCTTCGCACCAGTGGTAAAAATGAACACGGTAAGAGTGTTGTTGTCTGTAGCTGTTAATTGTGGATGGTCTTTGTTTCAGATGGATGTAAAAAATGCCTTCCTTCATGGAGATTTAGAAGAAGAAGTGTATATGGATCTTCCTCCAGGACATCCCTTGCAAAATAAGGATGGAGTTGTGTGTAGATTAAAGAAAGCATTATATGGACTTAAACAGTTGCCCAGAGCCTGGTACGGTAAGCTCAGTTCGGCACTCATCAAGTTTGGCTTCAAAAGAAGTGCTGCAGACTCGTCGATGTTTACTAAAGCCGACAATCAAGGTATTGTTGTCATTCTGGTTTATGTCGATGACATTGTTATTACTGGTAGTAACTCATCTGGAATTGAAACATTCAAACTTCATTTGAGCAAGGAATTTGATATTAAAGATCTTGGCAAATTGAAGTATTTCTTGGGTATTGAAGTGGCAAGTTCTCACAGAGGAATATTCTTATCGCAAAGAAAATATGTTCTTGACTTGCTAAAGGAAACTGGCAAGCTTGGAGTCAAACCGGCCAATATACCTATGGATTATAGCAGTAAGTTTGTTTCTAATAATACACCATTACAGGATATTGGGCAATTTCAGCAACTAGTAGGATGGCTAATTTACTTAACCATTACTAGGCCTGATATTGCTTATTTTGTCAGTTATGTGAGTTAGTTTATGCAGAATCCAACACAGGGGCATATGGAATTGATAAACCACCTGCTTCGGTACTTAAAAGCTTCACCAGGAAGAGGAATATTGATGAAGAATAATGGTCACACGAGATTGTTGGGTATACTGATGCGGATCGGGCTGGAAATCCTGTGGATAGGAAATCTACTACGGGTTTTTGCACATTTGTGGGTGGAAATATTGTTACTTGGAAAAGCAAAAAGCAAAATGTTGTTGCTCGTTCTAGTGCAGAGGCCGAGTACAGGGCCATGGCTACCACAACATCCGAAATTGTATGGCTGCGATTATTGCTTCAGGAATTGGGATGTGAGACTACGACTAAAGCTACAAAGTTGTTTTGTGACAACCAAGAAGCAACACACATTTCCTCTAATCCTGTTTTTCATGAGAGGACTAAACACATAGAGGTGGATTGTCACTTCGTTGAGGGAGAAGGTTCAAGATAAGACAATTGAGACTCCTTACATTCGTAGTGAAGATCAGCTTGCGGATATTTTCACCAAAGCTCTTCCCAAAGGAGCATTCCAAGATATGGTGAACAAGTTGACCTTTGACAATGTCTTCGCTCCAACTTAAGGGGGAGTGTTGCGGGATTGGATCTCTTATTCTAGGAAAAGAGATATTGTCAATATTGTATTTTTTATCTTACTACCTATTTAGGAGTGTTTTCCTATTTCAGGTTGCTTGTTACCTTTGTTGTAGCAACCTAATTCTGTATAAAAAGAAAGAATAATGGCAAAGCAAAACTCACGACAAAAAGGAGAGAAACACCGTGAGAGATTTGTCCGAGGACGTAAGCTTATTGCTGAACCTCGTTAATTCTTGTGTGTTATTTCTTTTGTGATTGTCTAAAATTCAACAAGACGGGCCAAAGTGAATAATACCTCGAGTGAGTTAATCCAGGGATGTCACACATATTCTTTGGAACTACAATGAACTCAATAAGGAGATACGGCTTCAATGCTTAATCAATTAACGGCTAATTAAACTTCTAATTCCTTCTTTTCAGGAGCCTATCTCTTTACCCTAATGGAGACGAGGAAAATAATGGGTCGGGATATATTTCCTTGTATTTGTCAATCGAGGAGACAAATAAGCTTCCTCACAATTGGAAGGTTGACGTCGAATACAAGCTTTTTGTGTATGACATGATACGAGACACGTACCTGACCCTCCAAGGTTAGATCATCACATAATATTAACAAAATCACCCTTCCAATTACATAATCATAGTTCAGAATTGACGAGAAAGTTGTATCAATTCGTGGAATTGTGTGTAGATCCTAATGGGGCAGTGAGGAGCTTCCATGACTTGAAGACCCAATGGGGGTTTTCTCAGTTTCTGTCCTTGGAAACATTCAAAGAGGCTTCCAATGGATACCTTGTGGGCGACTCTTGTATATTTGGGGCCGAGGTTTTTGTTATCAAATCTACTGGCAAATGGGAGTCTCTTACCATGATCGAAAACCCGCCAATCATGACCTTCACTTGGAAGATGCAAAGCTTCTCCAAATTAGACCAGAGCATTTACTATTCTGACGCCTTCACTGTTGGAGAGAGTCGTTGGTACGTTCTCAAAGTGAAAAGTTTGCAGATTAAACTTTATTTACTTGTATATTTCCATTTTGTCTCTAACCTCAATTATCGGATCTAGGAAGCTCCAAGTGTATCCCAAAGGCTATGGATCCCTTAAAGGGAAGTCGTTTTCCGTTTTCTTACTTTTACTTGGTAATAAAGACTTTCCTCCCAAGAGAAAAGTGTATCGCGAGTGCAATCTGCGCGTGTTGGACCAACTGAATGATAACCATATGGAGAGAAAAAGTAAGTGCCTTCAGGCTTCATGTTTATGATCTTCTGACAACCATTTTTTGAAAAGTTATCAATTTGATTTTTCACTAAATGTTTTCCATTGAAAAATTTGTTTAGCAGATTGCCACTGGGTCACGGGATCAGAAAATTAATGGGGTTTCCCAGACTTTATGTCCTTAGAGGATCTCCATAAACCATCGACAGGGTTTATTTATAATGATGTTCTGATTGTTGAAGTCCAATTCCTCCTCGTGTCGGCCGTCGAGGTTGTTGGAGTTTGACAGCTCCAACTTCACATCATTCCCTTTGATGTTGTCATAAGATCCTTGAGAACAATCTCTATCAACCAGTTTGTCAATGTATTTTTCCCCCTAGTTTGGTTTCTCCCTCTTTTTGATGGAGTTGAATCCCACAAATTGATGCATTCATCGTTGAGTTCATTGTACTATATAGCTAATAAAGAATCTTGCAAGTTCAATTCTCCAAATTTGTGCGAGTGTGCATTACTATTAATAGAAGTATACCTGGTCGATGGACAGGTTTGGACCAGTCAAGTCGGATATTCGGCTTACAGTCCTTTCGGAGTTCCGCCCATAAGTTAAACATCAAGTTATATTTATAAAATGACCAAGTATGCATGGATTCAAGTTTAAGAAGGAAATTGCTATTCAAACAACCAAAGGTCGCCGGCTGTCCCTCGCCGGTCACAAGTGAGGGCCGGCCAACCCTCGCCGCCGTGAGGTCTAGGTGAGGACCGCGTCTCTCGCCGAACTTGAAGAAGAAAAAAAAAAAAAAAAAGAAAAAAAGAAGAAATTTTTTTAAAAAAATTAAAAATTGGAAAAATATTAAAATTTTATTAAAATTTGTCCATGCCAGCGTTGGCCTCGGCCATGCCACGTAGAATGGCCGGCATCCACATTTGCAATGTCCAGCTAAAATTGGCTAAATAGACTCAATTGACAAAAAGTGAAAAGGTTTAAGGCTCAATTGACAAAATTAAAAGGTTTAGGACTGAATTAACAAAAATTTAATAGATTTAGGATTTTTTGGACAATTTTCCTCCCCTTATGGCTTAGTCCTACGAAGACAGCGAAAACTACTAATGACGAGGCACCATTTCATAAACAAACAGAACCAAATAAAGTTCATGTAGCATAAACCTTAGTCCCATTGTTGCCTTAAACTTCTACTACAAGACAATCCTAAAGTTTGCTTGTATTGTTTAGGGAAAAGTGCCAAAAAAGTCCTAAATCTTTTGCATTTGTGCCAATTTAGTCCTAAACCTTTTTTTTGTACCAATTCAGTCCTAAACCTTTTGCATTTGCGCCAATTCAGTCCTAAACCTTTTGTCTTTGTGCCAATTCAGTCCTTCCGACTAATTTTGGCCGGATTTTGCTGACGTGGACACCGGCCGACCGGCAGCCGGTCACCGGCGCTGGCGTAGACAACTTTAATAATATTTTAATATTTTTTTGAATTTTTATTTATTTATTTATTTTTGTTTTTTTTTCCCTCCCCTCCTCCTTCCTCCAACCGGTCGCCGGACCGGCAACCGGCCAAAGGCCAGAGGCCGGCACCGGCGAGGCTCGCCCTCGCCGGCCCCTGGCGAGGTCGACCTCACCGGCCATTGACGAGGCTTGCCCTCGCCTAGCACGAGGCCGCCCTTGCCAGTGGCCGACGAGGGCGAGCCTCACCGGCCTCTAGCCTCTAGCCGGCCGCCGGACCGGCGACCGGCTAGAGGAAGGAAGGAGGGGAGGGGGAAAAAATGAATAAATAAATAAAAATTCACAAAAATTATAAAAATATTAATAAAGTTGTCCACATCAGCGCCGCCTACCGGCCGGTCGGCATCCACGTCAACAAAATCCGGCCAAAATTAGCCAGCAGGACTAAATTGGCACAAAAATAAAAAGTTTAGGACTGAATTGGCACTATAAAAAGGTTTAAAACTGAATTGGCACTAATGCAAAAGGTTTAGGACTTCTTTGGCACTTTTCCCGTATTGTTTCCGGTGCTGCAGCAATTTGATTATTACCAAGAACTTAGAACTTAGTTGCCACCATTGGCAACAAAAAATTCTATCATCCCACCTAAAACTAACTCAGAAACTTAAAAAGAAGAGAGGTCGGTTTACAAGTAGGAAGAGCTAACAGTAACCATTCTGATCCATGCCTCCATATGATCATTTATTCAAGTCAGTTTATTTCACATTGCATGTTCTCAAACCTATTCATTACACCCGAAATGAAAATCACCAATATGTTAAGAAAGCGAAACCGCGACTTCATAAGCTCCATAGATAAAGGAAGGGCCATGACTCTTCATACGAAACTTGCATAAACTTGTCCCAGCTCGAAGTCGCATTTGCTACACTACTACGGATAAGCTTCTTCTCTTAATGCTGCCTATCTAAAAGTACCAGGGAGTATCAATTCAACGGAAAAGGAAAGCATTTAATCACGCTAGATTCATCCCATTATCAATTGTATTCGAGTTTAAATACATGACTTCTTTCTAAACGAAACTTCTAAATATAGTACCACATTACTTAAGCTCCGTTTGTTTCACAAAAAATGAATAAATTTGAAAAAGCGTGCAAGACCTTCCTCCAAAGAGGAAAGTGTCTGTAGAATTCTATTTGCGCGTGTTGGACCAACTCAATTGTAAACACAAGGAGAGAAAAGGTATGTTTTTCTTTTTAATTTTTAATTATGCCGCACATAATTTGATTTTTCGTAAATTCAAAACACCCAAAATATTACAACTAGCAAATGTTGGCACATAAATTCACATTTAAGTTTTGCATAATTTTTTAAAATTTTGAACGATATTTTATTTTGGTGAGATAAAAACTAATTTTTTTTTACTTTTGCTTAATCCAAAATAAACTGGCTAATTGCGAATGCATATAAATATTACTATTTAATATCACGTCAACTTGTTCGGGATCTTGTCATAAAGTGACAATCATTCTTATTTTATGGGAAAATTCCAAATGGCTGTTTGGAAAGGGCTCGAAGCTCATCTATACAACTTCTCAACTTTTGAGTACCATAGCAAAAATCCAAATATGCATGTGAATTTCTTCTATTGAAGGTACATAATGCTTTCTCTTTTTATGAGTCCAAAAACCGAGTATGAGTATACTAATTGGCTTCAGCTACATTATTAAAAATAAAACTAAGAAGTAATTTTTCGGGGGGCATCGCAGTTGGTTGTTGGCTATGTGCCTCAGATTCCAGTAGGGGTTACACAGCCTTCGTGCCCTTGGAGGATCTGCAGAAACCGGCAAAAGGGTTCATTTACGAGGATGTTCTGATTGTTCAAGTCCAAATCCTCATCGTATCATCTGTCAAAGTTGTAGGAGTTCGATGACTTGCTTCAATGTTTATAGCGTCAGAATTTGTTTCTTGAGAATAATGTGTTCCGACCAAATTGGAGGTGACATTGATACCCCCAAAACCATTTGAGTTTTTTTCCCCCTAATTTGATTCCTTATTCGATACTAGATCGAGTGTCTAATGCATACAACTTCCAAGTTTGTCATCGAGTGGTTGATCCGAGCATTGGGAAGCGTGTCTTTGGGAGTCTTTGATATCTGCATTTGGATATCTGCAAGAGAAAGATGGGCGAGAAGGAGTCCAGGGAGTGCCCCTGGACAAACACTCCGGCACCCGAGTCAGTATGGTGTGGGAGAAGAAGAGAGAATTTGAATGTGAGCGCTGGTGACTCTGTGTGTTGAGGGCTTACCAGGCCTTTACTTACAGGCAAGAGAGGAACTGGTTCTTGTAGGATAGCTCATGCTAATCCCCGGTACGTGAGGTTAATTCGAGTTGAGCCAGACAACTCGATGGGGCAATCTTGACAGCGACCATGGATGCTCCTCCATGTATGGCAGTGACTCGCGGGTGGGTCCTGTGGCTCTTAACCTTGCCGCGATCATTAGCACCTCTCCCCCCCTAGGAAATTGACCCAATATGTCTCATTCTCTCAATAGTCCTCTATTCCAAGGGCCTTTTTAGCTATCCTTGCCTTACAGAAGACCATGTTAAGGTTTTTTCTTACCATTAGGGGTTTGTGTTTGACAGCTTCTACGGCAGCTATAAATGCCCGGACCGAACATTGCGCTAACCCGCACGGGCTTTGCATGTGTTTGATTATATGAGCCTAGTACTGTCATATGGACTTAGGACCCATTTGGCTTGGCATTCAGGAAAAGTCTTTAGCCAAATGCAAAGGCCTTTAGCACAAAGAGCTCTAGGGAAATACAAGATTATTTCATAAACTGTAATTGAAAAATGCTTTGAGGAAAGGCAAGATATTTGGTAAATATATATTTGGAAAGTCCTTTGGTGTAATTAATTTAAGTTTTTAATTTTAATATTTTAAAATTGAAGTAAAAAAATTGACTAATTGCGGATGTTTATATTTTAGTGTTGAGAGTAATGTAAAAGAAAAATATTAACAAATTTAAAAAAAAGAGTCATTTCATTATAATACACATGATCAGATGTCCCTAAGAATAGAATACATTATTCTTACATATTATAGACATTCTTAACGACTTTGTAAACTCATGGTCAACAATTGAACAAAGCATATTAATTTGCATTCCAATTTGTTGTGCCGTGGTCAATCGATTTTTCTTTCTTTCCTCGAGCTTGCCTCATTGAAGTATGCACCACTTTTTTACAGCTCTAAGTTCCAATTAGTTCAACAATGATTTCACCCACGTGACACTCCAAATTTTCATCACTAGATTCTACACGATCACCGATACCAGATTGCATGGTCTCAACAACATCCTCATCAATACATAAATCTTGTCCAAGATTCCATGTGATTGATCCATTAACAATTGTATTTTTGAACATTCGATCTAACAAAACTGCAAGATCAGGATGTGTGCCTTTCATCCTAAAAACCTTAAGCTTAGGATTCGCGTATTATAATATAGCATTTGCATTTGCATTAAGTTTTATCATTGAAGATGAACTAAACACAAAATAAAAAAGGAAGATAATACTTCCTACACACCACGATTGCTGAACTATTGTTGGCCCTACAACGATTTCCCTACTATTGCTGAACTATTGCTGGCCCTACAATGATTTCCCAACTATTGCTGAACTATCGCTAATCCCTACAACGATTTCCCCTACTATTACTGAACTATTGCTAATCCTACAACAATTTTTAGCTAACCGGCAACATTTTTTAACACACTAAGCAGGAAAAATCATAGAAACAAGAATGAGAGACCAGAGCAAAGTGAAATCAGATCCACCAAAGGGAGGGAAGGAGGGTGAGGAACCTGCAGAGAGATGTGAGCGAGCAAAGGGAACAGAGCAGTCGAGTGAAGCGAACAAGTGGGCGGGGTGAGGTAGGGGGGAGTGAGGGAGGCCGATGAGCGAGCAACGGTAGAGAGCAAGGTGAAAGCGTCGAGGGTACAAAGAAAATTTTTAAAGGGGCAAAAGTGGACTTTTAGTAAGATTTTCAAGGCAAAAAAGGCAACGGGCATATTTTTATTAATTGGTGGAGTAGCATTCCCAAGGCTAGCATTTAGCCAGAGAGGTGGGAAAATAGTTTGCCGAATATTAAAAAGTTTCCTTAAGGAAAGTCCCTTGGGAAAGCTGAACCAAACAGGTCAAGCATTTTCTTAGTGATAGCGTACCGAAATAACGAGAGAAACTTATTTACAACTTGATGTTACTATATTGGAGCTTAGCATTCTCTTCTTCTCATTTCCCGAGTCGTTCTCAACTATCTTGAGCTGTGCCATCCTATGGGGCACTTCACCTTGTTAGGTCTCAGTTTTTAGGTCAACTTCTATATATGGGCATCACTGGGTAGGCGTTGGTCGCTTGGTTCAGCACCATTGACCTCCTGAGTCAGAAGCTGTCCTTTGTGGTATCCATGGATCCGTGGATCGCTTTCTTTGTCCTGCCTTCGAAAGGTGGATCGTGAGGGCGTACCTTGAGTGGCGGCTCACTACGTCTGCCTTGCAACGCGTATGTCTCAGCAGACAGCTTGCTAGAGTGCGCCCTTAAAGGCGTGCTTCAAGGGACTAATACTTGTAATTATATACCTCAAAAGCGGCTTGTAAGGGTGCGCATGGCAACGATTCTGTGCCCGAGAACTGATTCTGTTCAGAAATAATTCTTTTTTAATCTATGCTCGGGAACTGATTTAGAGCATTTGAAGGCGTTTGGTAATGGCCCAAAATTTCCATTTCTGAAATAGTAAAAGAACATAAATGCATTTGGTAACGGCATAAAATTTCTTTTTATTAATAATATTTTAAATATTTTAATATTTCTTTCTTTTTTTCTTCTCCTCCTTCTTGGTCATGGCCGGTAAAATATTTTTTTATTGATAATACTTTCATTAAAAATAGTTTTTTTATTTTTTTTGGCCATGGCGGTAAAATATTTTTTTTTAATAATTTTTTTTATTAAATATTGAAAATAATTTTTTATTTTTTTTTCACCATGGCCTGGTTGCTAGCCATGGTAAAAAATTTTTTTTATAAATATTGTTTTATTAATAATATTAATAAAAAATATTATTATTGAAATTATTATTTTTATTTTTTTTCGCCATGGCCAGTAAAATATTTTTTTTATAAATAATATTTTTTTAAAATATTTTAATAAAAAATATTTTTATTGAAAATATCTTTTTTATTTTTTTTTTCGCTATGGCCTAGTCGCTGGCCATGGCCAGTAAAATTTTTTTATTAATAAATTTTTTTATTTTTTTTTCACCATGGCCTGATCGCTGGCCATGGCCGGTAAATTTTTTATTAATAAATTTTTTTATTAATAATATTTTAATCTTGCTTAATACAGTGAGGGTGGCTCTTGCGCCGGACATTAGAAGCTACATTAAAAACCAAGAAAAAGAAGAAGAAAAAAAAACTGTTTCTCATTTTTATTCCCAGAATCAAGAAGCTACTTTTTTTTTATTCTTGATTCTGCTCCAAAACTGATTATGGGCACAAATTTGCAAGAATTTATGCCCAGAATCAAAAAATTAAACAAACGGATTTCTATTCCCAAACTGATTCTGGGAACAAAAGAACAGAATCAAACACTATTTGGTAAGTTGTCATGCGCAGCCTAAGTGTGTGGCTTTGGAGCCAACCGGATACCCTAGCACTCGTGTACTCTCTGAAGTTTCTCTCTCCTCGAGGACTCCAAAATCTTGAACTTAGCTCTGACTGTTTGAGTTTAATTCTATCTTTGAAGTCCCCAGATCACACCGGATGGGTAGAGCACGCTCTTATCTCTGAAACTCCAAATATGTTACTCTGCTTTGGTGATCTAAGAGTAGCCCATTGTAGTGGAAAGCAAAACAGAGTAGCGGACTAGGTCGTAAAAGTCCAGTGAGAGAATTCTGTTCCACAGAATTGGCTAGTCCAACCCAGCCCCTATGGACTCGTTGTGTTCATATGCCCCTTTTATGGGCCCCTACGTTTAAGTCTTTAATAAATAGTGTTAATACCGCAAAAAACCTCAAACTGATATATCATTGACAAATTTACCCCAAACTAATACACACATAACAATTTTACCCTCCGTTAGTTCAGTTTAATTTTACCGTCAAATTACTGAGTTGGATAACACGTGACAGTTAATGGGTGCAACAATTTAGAGTTTTACCCTCCATTTGTCAAGGTGTACTAATTTGTGGTATTTCGTGATATTAATCCAATTTAACGGAAACTAATGAAAAGTAAATTTGTCACAAATGTGGGATTTTAGTTGTCAAAAAATTAGTTTAGGGTAAATCTACTTTAGGTATACCAATTTGGGAGGTTTTTGATGGTTAAAAACTTAGTTTTTGGTAAATTTATCACGAGTGTACTAGTTTGGGGTTTTTCGTGGTATTAACCATAATAAATAAAACTATTATTTTGACTAAATAAAAGTGTGGTTTTGGAGATGAGGGGAAAATGTTCAATTAGTCCTAAACTAATTATCCGGATACTAATTCAGTCCTAAAATTTTCAATTTTATCAATTTAATCTTAACCTTTTGCGCGAAATTTCAATATAATTTTTCCGATTAACTCAGCATGCCCTCAACGTTTGCGACAAACTCTAATTGTCCTCTTCTTGTATTAAAAAAGAAAAAGAAAATAGCAATAGCTCGGAGTATGCCACACCTATGAAGGCAAATTTTATTTTCCTTTCAAAAATAAATTGAAGGAAAATTTCCAAATAAGGACCCAAAATACTTAGGTGCTGCATGAAAACCATTCTGGTTCTGTCCAGAACTGGTTTTTTGTTCCCAGAATCAGTTTTGGACCAGAAACCCGTTTGGTAACGCAATTTCATTTTTCTATTTCCGGGACAAGTTTGCTTCCAAAACTAATTCTGAAACCAGAAATGAGAACCAAAAGAAAGTTGGTTTTTCATTTTTGGAACAAAAGTGAGAACCATTTCTGAGGAATTCATTTTCTTCAACACACATATTCATATGGAAGTCACGATCTTTGAGGTGAGAAAAAAAAACAAAAAATCAAAAATTTCAAAACTTAACGTAATGGTTTAAAATCGTGGCTACCCACTTTCAATGAAATTTAAATTTTTAGGTACCAAAAAAATAAATAAAAATAAAAATTTCAAAATTTCACAAAATGGCTTAGAAAACCTATGGCCACCCACTTTGAGCAAAATTTAATTTTTTTAGTTGCCAAAAAAATAAAAAAATAATAAAAAATTCTAAAATTTAAAAACTTCACAAAATATCTTAGAATACCATGGCCACCCAATTTGAAAGAAAATTTTATTTTTTAGGTGCCGAAAAAAATAAAAAAGCAAAATATCAAAAATTTCAAAACTTCACAGAATGGCTTAGAATACTTGTGGCCATCCACTTTGAGTGAAATTTAATTTTTTTTAGTTGCCGAAAAAAATAAAAAAAAATAAAAAATTTCAAAACTTCACAGAATAGCTTAAAATACATGTGGCCACCCACTTTGAGTGAAATTTAAATTTTTTTATACGCCAAAAAAAATAAAAATAAGCAAAAAAGTAAAAATTTCAAAACTTTACAGAATGACTTAAAATACATGTGGCCACCCACTTTGAGCAAAATTTTAGTTTTTTAGTTGCCGAAAAAAATAAAAGAAAAAAAGAAAAAACTTCAAAACTTCACAAAATGGCTTAGAATACCTGTAGCTATCCACTTTAAGCGAAATTTAAATTTTTTTAGGTGCCGAAAAAAATAAAAATAAAAAATAAAAAACTTCACATAATTGCTTAGAATACCCGTGGCCACCCACTTTGAGTGAAATTTAATTTTTTTTAGGTGTCGAAAAAAAATAAAAATAAGCAAAATAGAAAAATTTTCAAAACTTCACAGAGTGGCTTAGAATACATGTGGCCATCCACTTTGAGTGAAATTTAATTTTCTTTAAGAACCAAAAAAATAAAAAAAAAATAAAAAATACCATTTGGGCATCTAAAAAAATTAAATTTTACTCAAAGTGGGTGGCTAGAGGTATTGTAAGTCATTCGTGAAGTTTTGAAATTTTTGATTTTTTATGTTTTTTTCACCTAAAAAATTTAAATTTCACTCAAAGTGGATGGCCACATGTATTCTAAGTCATTCGTGAAATTTTGAAATTTTTGATTTTTTTTTTTTTTTCACCTCCAAAATTAAAATTTCACTCAAAGTGGGTGGCCACCAGTATTCTAAGCCATTCTGTGAGTTTTGAAATTTTTAATTTTTTTAAATTTGTTTTGGGTATCTCAAAAAATTAAAATTTACTCAAAAAGTGGGTGGCCAGTATTCTAAGCCATTTTGTGAAATTTTGAAATTTTTTTTTTTTTTTTGGGCACCTCAAAAAATTTAAATTTTACTCAAAGTGGGTGACTACAAGTATTCTAAGCAATTCTGTGAAGTTTTGAAATTTTGATTTCTTGATTTTTTTAAAAAAATTCAACAAATTTCCCATTTTCCCGAAATCTGAATATTTTTTTATTTTCTTGACATTTTGATGATTTTTTCTGGAATTTTTCAAGTTTTTGGGATTTTCTGATTTTTTTTGAGATTTTTATGAATTTTTCGGATTTTTTAATTATTTTTATTCCATTTCTAAAAAAATGGATTTCTGTTCCTGGAAATAGAATTTTCTGTTGTTTATCAAACGAGTTTTTGTTTCGGGAAATAGAAATTTTGTGCTATTATCAAACGAGTTTCTGTTCTAGAAATAGAAATTTTTGTCGTTATCAAACGGGTTTTTCTCGAAACTCATCCAGGAACCGGAAATAGAAAAATCTATTTACGGTTGAGAACTCATTCCGAACGGAATGGTTATCATGCGCACACTTTCTCAAATAAGGACCTGAAGTGAATCATGTGTCAAATAAGAATCTGAAGTGCCCTCACTTTCTCAATAAGGGCATGAAGTAGCCATCCAAGTCTCAAAAAAGGATACAACCTTATCGGAGTCAAGGGCATTTTCATCTTTTACTTTTTCCTTTCTTTCTTTCTTTCTTTCTTTTTTTTCATTTTCTATTTAAAAAAATGAACTCAAAAATGAAACAAAGAAGCTAAAGTTAAAAAAAAGAAAAAAAACAAGGGGGAGGGCTGGTAGCAGCCCCTCGGCTTGTGGCCGTTGCCCCATGGCCGATGGGGCGGCGACAATGGCCGACGGGGTCACCAGTGTCTCCCCAAGGGCCAGCGACCCTCTCCCAAATCTGGGCGAGGTCCAAACCTCACCAAGATATGCGGGAGGGCTGCTGGCCCTCGCACAAATTTGGCGGCCCTCTCCTAGACCTGGGCGAGGGCCAGCGACCCTCGCCCAGACCAGGGCGAGGTCTGGCACCCTCTCCCGGCTCTAGCTAGGCCCTCGTTTCTGGCCGGCAACCCCGCCGGCCATGGTCGCTGCCCTACGGACGATGGGGCGGTGGCCACAGACGAGGAGGGCCAGCCCTCCCCTTGTTTTTTTCTTTTAAAAAATAACATTTCTTTTTAATTTTTAATCTAATTTAATTAAAATTCATATTAAAAAAATTTTTGGACAAAAATGTCTTTGGTCGGCCGGAAAATTTGGCTCGCCGGCGAGGTTAGGCCTTTATTTAAAACTGTTATAGCTACTTCATGCCTCTTATTTGATAAAAAAAAAATGACACTTCGGATCTTTATTTGAGAAAATAAGAACGCTTCGAGTCTTTATTTGGAATTTTCTCAATAATAAATAAATAGGCCTTCCCTTCCCAAAGGACAAAAAAAACAAAAACAGAAGACATTTCCCTTGTTTTTCCCTTTCTCCTGTGCTCATCGAATCAAAAAGGCCTCGCCTTTCGCTCATCGACCCTCCCCCAAAAATGCTCATTTCCATGTCACACTTCTCCCCCCTCCGCCCACTATAACAAGCAACCACCCCCTCCTCTCTCTCCTCGTCTCTCCCCCTTCCTCCCCCGCCCCTCTCTCTCTCTCTCTCTCTCTCTCTCGACACCCGCACGCGCCCCCCAAAGCCCCTCCGCCCCTCCCTGCCGCCGCCGCTGCCGCCCCGATGGCGTCCCCGGATGCCCAGGCCGGCCCGCAGCGCCGCCAGCACGTCGTCGTGATGCGCCACGGCGACCGCATCGACAACTTCGAGCCGCTCTGGGTGTCCACGGCGGCCCGCCCCTGGGACCCGCCCCTCGTAGAGGCGGGCCTGGTTCGGGCGTTCTGCACCGGCCGGAAGCTCCGGGATCAGCTCGGCTTCCCGATCCACCGCGCCCTCGTGTCCCCGTTCCTCCGCTGCGTCCAGACGGCCTCCGAGGTGGTCTCCGCCCTCTGCGCCGTCGACGACGAAGACCTCACCGCCACGACCTCCGAGGCCCTCTCCCTCGATCCGTCGAGGGTCAAGGTCAGTCCCCGAGTCTGTGATTGTTTGAGTGCGCACGCGTTGTGATGTGCGATCGTTTGATGGCGATGGCGATGGCGATGGCGATGGCGATGGTTTTGATTGGAGTAGATGGTCGATTGATTGGTCGAGGCCGAGAGAGCAATGGACTTTACGGTCAACGCGTGCGGGTGTGAATTCTGCGTAGTGCGTAGGTGGGATTTGGTGACGTGCGTGTCAAGCTAAGGAGCGGTATTGCATACATACGGTCCTTGCCAGCTTGATACACATATAGATTTGATCAGCTAGTGAACACTTCTCTGAAGTGAATGACTGGTGGGAAATATTTGCACTCTGTATGAGTAATAGAGTGGACTACATCCATGCGGGACCCACTGTTATGTGAGAGAGGAATGAATTAAGGTTTGAAAATTAGCTTTGCCCATGGTTATCTAGAAGGTAATATGTAAAGTTAGAAACTTGTCTGATGTGTAGAAATCCTTCCTATCGAGATGTTGATGTTGACTTGAAATGTTTTATTGAGAGAGAGAGGGAGAGAGATGTGTGGTGTGTCTTGCTAGAGAGATGCAAAATTGAGCGACAACATTGTGGCATTGGTTTAAGGTGGAGTGAATGTGTGACCTGTCTGAGCAAAATCAAGTGAAAAAGAGAGTGCCATTGCCTATTTGAATCAAATGCTTGGTAACAGATTGAGGTTTGACTTTACCGATACAGTTATCTGGTGAGACTTGTGGGCTGAAGTTTGTGAACTTTGATTTTTCATGTGGGCTCTGAAGAGAATGCATATTGCTTTTTCCCATTTTGGGATCAGCTTGCATTTGAAGTTATGTTTGGCGATAGGTAAGTAGTTATAATCTAATTAGCTCAGGAAGCATTCATTCCCGGCAATGGGCAATTGGGCATATCTTTGAAACACAGTTATCTGGATATTGTATCATGTAACGCTCTTAAATATATAAGGCACTGCATAGTGATTTTAGATCTTTTGATGAACTCTGGAAAATGTATCAAATATGTGGCATCAGTAAGGCAATGGCAATATGCAATAGTAGGTGGAGTCAAGCAGTGCAGTGCAGTATTAGAGTATCTTTGAATTAGCTAGATTTTATCATCAATGTCGGTTTTAATCAAAGAGTTCTAATCTTGTTTATGCCATGTTAGTGTAGAGGGAAGTTAGGAGAAATTTTTATGAAGGAAAGCTTATCTCAGGGTGAAACATGTTGCTTTACTACTTTTGAGATAATGAAATGGGGATTATATGAGAATTCAGGAGAAGGATATTTTCTCTTTCAGTCAGGCTCTGTTTCATCCAAAGTTGGAAGGAAGCAAAGGAAATAATTTTCTTCCACTTCCAAAAAGTACATAGTCTTTCGATAGTTCACTTCTTGCTTCATATTAACATATCACAGCCAAGAGACAAAATTGTCTTGGTTTAGTTTTGTCCCTTCCTCTCTCTCTCACTGCAGCTATTTCTTCCGGTTTAGGTCATCTAGATCTTCCATTTGTATGAAAAGCAGTAAGCACACATATTCTTGCAAAGTCTTTTGAATTGGGTGCATCTTAATAATATTATGTTTTAGTTTAAGATCTCCGTGGACTTCTATTGCTTTGGTTGACAGATCTAATGTGAGTGGGAACTAGGTTGAATGGTTTCACCTGTATTGCTTGGTTGCAATTAAATGTTAAGGTAGAATCCCTAGAAAAAAGTAATTGGTATTTCCTTCTAACAATAGATTGTTCCTGGATTGTACAGACTCTGGCTTATTTACACCGTTAAAATGTAAATAGTCATTCTGTAGAGGGGTGTATGGAGTCCGGCTGCTATGTACAAATCAATTGATTGAAGAATACTTAAACAGAGATCAAACCCACAGATTTTGCGGTCTGCTTTTTCAATAAATGATGCTACTGACATTTGGTCATGTTGTGAGTTTGTTTACTGCAGAATTCGGTTCATGAGATTATAACTGAATGGTAAAAGCTTTTAATCTTTAAACTCATTCAGCAGGTTTCAATCGAGTATGGATTGTGTGAGATGTTGAACCGGGAAGCCATCAGATTTCCTCCTAAAGATGGGGAGTGGGGATTTGATATTTCTGAGCTTGAAGCCATGCTACCGACGGGTACAGTGGATCATACAGTAGAAAGAGTGTATAAACAGGTGAATTTTTTTAGACAAAGAGTATGCTTTTGCCTGGAAATTATATAACTGGATGCCAATACATCTACTGGCAATATAATCATGACTTCACTTTGCATTGATGCAAATTGGCTGCAGACGCCACAATGGGAAGAGACAGTATTGGGTGCACGAGCTAGATATGAGCAAATTATTGTTGCCCTAGCTGATAAATATCCGTCAGAAAACTTGCTGCTTGTCACACATGGTAAGATAATAATTTTCATATGATTGTGAAGACAACATCTTCAGAACATCATGTCAAGCAAGCTCAGTTGAATTTTAAGTTCCTGTACTATATTTCATCGGCTTTTTTTAGCAACTAGGCATGCTTTTTGAATCCAGATTCATAGCATTATATATTCAGAGTGCTTTCAACTAGATGGTTGAGACCCATTGATAGGTCTAACAGTGACAATCTCTAAGGGATAGACAATGTTGATCTTGGGATATATTCAAGAAGCACAAATATTGACCATCAGTTAAAGCAAATCAATGCAGCCTGCAAGTTCCATGATATGCTTTTGCTCATTTGCCGAAATTTTTAAAGTTGTGCTTCTGTGCAGGGGAAGGAGTTGGAGTGTCGGTCTCAGCATTTTTGAAGGATGCAACAGTGTACGAAGTAGAGTATTGTGGATATTCTAATCTCGAAAGACCAATCTTTCTGAAGGATGAGTCATTTACCGCTGGAAACTTTGAGTTACTCACAAATCCCGGCCAAACTGGTGTAAGTTACTTGCCCTCGAGCAGGCTCTCTGATGGCCTATGACTGAAATAGTAAATTTCACTCTACGATTGAAGGTAAGGAGGATCCAAAACGATACTTCTTTTGAACTCGCAGTTACAGGATGAGAACTTTTAGTGGCACGATTCTCGGTCCCGTGATTGTATTGCTGAGACAAAACTCGTCACAATGATGTCTTTGTTTATGATTGTTGTCGGTATTGATTATTTTACAATGGCAAAAGAGCTGCTTTTTCACAAGAAGTTACTGCTGTTTTGCTGTGTGATGCTTACTAGATGAATGAGCCTCCTCCTCCTTCATTTTTCTTATTTACTTTTGAGTCTACTACATTTATGTCAGCTAGATGCTTCTGCGCCACATCTGCTGAAATTCCTCCTGCTAGTACTCTCAGAGAATCGATTTATCCTTTTTTTTCCACTCGAAACAGCTTGTTTGCAAACTTTTAAATGCTGGCCATCATAAGCCAAAGCAACCTATACTGAAACGGAATTCGAGAGTAGAATTATCAAAGAAAACGGATGTAGCAAGTGCAAAAAAATAGGGTTAATACCACGAAAAATTTCAACTCCAAACTAATTTTTTAATCACCAAAAACCCTAACTTGGCACATATGACAATTTTATCCTCCGTTAGTTTCCTTTAAATTTTACTGTCAAATTTATGAGTTGGATGAAATGTAGCAATTGACGGGTGTACCAATTTGGGTTTTACCCTCCGATTGTTACAGGTGTATCAGTTTGTGATTTTTCGTGGTAATAATCCAATTTAACAAAGGGTAAATTTGTTACAAATGTATCAGTTTGGGGTTTTTGGTGGTCAAAAAAATTAGTTTAAGGTAAATTCGTCACATGTATAGCAATTTGGGGTTTTTGGTAATCAAAAAATTAATTTGAAATAAATTTGGCACAGGGATATCAGTTTGGGGTTTTTCATGATATTAACCCAAAAAAATAATAACATTGAAATGTCTTGCTAATTATTGAGTGTAGTTTTGAATTTCGCATTTAGTTGATTGGATGATAAAATTATTTAATACTCTAAAGTTCATAGCCTTCGAAATTCGCATCCCTTTTTTCATCCTTGTTTCTAGGTGATTTTATGAAGTTGTTGTCGACTCTCCGATTAGGAAGCAATTGTAGCATTTATTGGCACAGCACGCCATTCGCATGGACGAAACTTAAAAGCAAGAAAAGATGCCTTTTGAAACATGCAAAATCAAAATGATAAAGGTACAACTCATACCAAACGATCTCATATCTTAGTGGGAATAAATCTCAAATTATTCCCATATTATTCTTGCGATTGTTACACAATATTCTTCATTCTAGTTTTATCATCTTTACAGGAATAAATCTTGAATTGTTCCCAAACAAAGAAATTATTCTCGCGTTAATTACACTATATTCTTCATTCTTGTTCTTTTTGCCATTTTTATTTATAAAATATATGGATAAGTGCACTACAAATTCTAAAACTTATCACGAAAATGTAATTGAGTCTTAAAACTTGTCACAAAAATACAATTGAGTCTTAAAACTTTAAAAAAGAAATCAACAAAAGGACTTGATTGAGCAAATTTTATAAGTTCTAGGACTTGATTTCACTTTTTGAAAGTTTTAGGACTTAATTATACTTTTTGCAAGTTTTAGGATACAATCGCACATTCGTGACAAGTTTTAGGACTTCCAAATTCACATATCCCTAAAACATAAAAAGTTCAATGGACACAAAAACCACTCAAGCGATTTATGCTTTTTCCCTATAGTCATTACCAACCTTTCAAACCAAACACCAAGAAAAAGGAGGAAAAGTACATCACAAATACCACAACTTTCGTACGACGCTCACTTAAATATCATAACTATTTTTGATTATTTGAGTGCCGTAACTTATGTACAACATTCGCTTAAGTACCATAACTTCTTCTTTTTTCCAACCACTTGAGTGTCATATAACTTTTCAATAGATCACTTGAATGACATAACTTTTTAAAATCATTCACTACATGTCCTATGCCACGTCAAATTTCCGGTAGTTGGGCGAATGTTTTTTAAACGAATTTGCACTTAAGTGATCGATTGAAAGTTATAATACTAAAGTAAAAGTTTTTTTCGAAGTTATGACACTTAAGTGATTGAAAGAAAAGTTATGGCATCAAGTGAGCACTATACTTGTAATATCCTTATCTTAAGAAAAAGGGGGAAAAAGATAAGGTTGTGCCTGTGCACTACGGTAAAGAAGAGGGACAGAAAAAGGAGAAAAATGTGGTGGTCCGGAGGATTCAATACACTGAGCCATGTTGGACTCAATTGGCGCCAACCTATTATCCTTCCACTGCCGGGAGCGGGAGGTTTTCACTACTTTGTGAAGTCAGCCTCACGTGAACCCTTCCCACACTGCCCAAGTCTTCACTCGGCCCCGCATGGATCAACTCTTAACTTGGAATGGGGGGGCCATATAAGAGCCACAATAGGCCTGACTCGCAAGAGTTGAACCCATGACCAACCACATCGATGCTGCCACCTAAGTTACAAGCTCGCACAACTAAGCTTGGCGAGCAGCAGTGATAACTGCGCTTTTTATAAAGTGTGTAATGTCCTCATGTACGCCCGATGTGGGACTTCTATGCATAGGATTGCTTGCATTGTTTCCCTTCATCACACTTCATATCTCTCTGCGCATGATTGTGAACTCAATGGTTCAAATTTTCTTCAATGTTGTTGAGACCTATTTTCTAATTTTTTCCCAAAATTAACTATGCAAAATTTAGGTGTTAATTTCTTAATTAATTCGTAAAACAAAAAAATATATTATTTTTATCTAATTGCATTGCATATAGACATTAGGCACATTTGCATTAATAGGGCCTATTAGAGCATATTTTCTTAATTAACTTTCAAAAAAATAAAAATAATTAAAAATAATTAATTAATTAAAAAATCTAGGTTGTGACCAGGTTGACCCGGCCTTTTCTTTTTTTCCCCTCGCACCGGCCCAGCCCGCTTCCTTTTTTTCTCCCATCCGCGTGAGCTGGGCCAGGCCCGGCCCAACTCTTTCTTTTCCTTCTCTCCCTGCTGCCAGTCTTCCTCCTCAATCTTCCCCTGTTTCAGACTATCGAAATTGACGGACGGCTGAGCGGCCTCGACGTCCCCATCTAGCAGGTAAGGGAGCAGCAGGGGGAGGGCATTGATGGCTCCCCCTTTCCCGATCTCTCCCCTTCTCGTCTTCCCCTCATGGCGGCCGGGAAAGTCAAGTAGAGGTGCACGACTTTTTCCTCCCTGCACCGGCCTAGGATGGCCACCAAAGTCGTGGAGGCTATGGTCGGCACAAGGCCATTAAGGCCACGACTTACGGGGCGAAGCGGCGGCCATCGCCTATAAAGGCGGAGAAGTGTAACGACCCGATCCGACGAGGGAGTGGTCGCCCCAGGCCCGAAGGGCCTGAACAAGGAGCGGCTCCGAGGGCTTCTGGGATGGCAAGGGGGCATCTCTCGTCCCCGCGCTCGCTTAGGGGAGTCATGGGGTTGCTTATAAGGCCTAGATGGCCTTATCACCGTATGTAGCGCGTTTTAAAGCCGTGAGGGTCGGTGGGTCCAAGCGGACAATATTACAGTGTAGACCGGTCGCTTAGCCAAAGTCAAGTAGAGGTGCAGGACTTTTTCGTCCCCGCACCGGCCTAGGATGGCCACCAAAGTCGTGGAGGCTATGGTTGGCGCAGGCCATTAAGGCCGCGACTTCTAGGGCGGTTAAAGCCGTGAGGGTCAGTGGGCCCAAAGCGAATAATATTACACAGTGTAGACCCCGGGTCCTTACAAGAAGAGAGAGAGAGAGGAGGGCGGTCGGAAACAGAACATAGTGAGAGAAAAGAGAAGAGAAGAGAGAACCGAGAGAAAAGAGCGAGCTGAGGGATTTTGCAGGTCGCCAAGGGACACCACCAGCCCCGCCGTTGCCTACGGATCAGTCGAAAACCCACCCCGGGCACATCTTCGACCAGCAAGCCCTCCCGGTTCCAACCCCCATATTTTCCCTTGTTTGTGAACACGATTTGGCCAAGACTCGTGCCAGCCATTTCGTGCGAATCCCAGCCCATGCCATCGTTTCCCGTAGCCCATATATCATCACCAAAAGTAAGCTAGGTCGCCGGAGTACACCGAAGTCCCAAGGTAGGTCAAAAACCGTCTATTTTAGCCTCGCACACCAGATAATCGATGGAATGCCTCGGTGAGGCCGAGCTGTTTTTGGTCACTGGCTGTCGAGCGGGTCATCGGACGGCAAGTGGGATGGGCGGAAAGCTTGTTGGTGGTCCCTAGAGGCTCGATTTAGGCCTGAGCCGGCATGGGTCGATCGACTAGGGGTCGATTTTCTCTTGGTCGGCATCCCTGCATGCTTTTGCATGTGAGAACCGACCCGACCCGAGTCATGACCCGGGTCAACAAATTTAGGTCGGATCCATTGACCCGGGTCAGTTCCAATCGACCCGATTTATTATTATATTAATATTTTATATTTTTAATAAAAGCATTTAAAAAATTATTAATTAAAAACATTTAAAAATATTTTTTTGTTTAAATCGTGTTCATCATCATCATCATCATCATCATTATTATTATTATTATTATTATTATTATTATTTCTGAAAAAATATAAAAAAATATGTAAAAAATCGTTTTTTTTATTTCTTTTAAAATTAAGAAACAGTTTAGAAAGTAGTATTTTTGAATATTTTTCTAAATTATGTGGATTATTTGATTATCAATCATGTTTAAAGTCGGATAGGCCCATAGGGATATGCGGTAGGACTTCGTATGTTGTCTCTACTATTATTGTTTTATTATACATGTTTTTTTTAATTGAGATATAATTGCATAAATTGTTGTGCTTTGAATGTCGTTACCTTAGTTAGGGCTAGAACCTTAGGCTGCATGTCTAGTTTGATTGCTAATCGTCAATGATTGTACACTCGCTTGATCACCTCACTTGTTAGAAGAAATGTCCTAAAATCAATCCAAATTGTTTGAAAAATATTTTGTGAAATGAACAGGGTAAAAAGGTACTAGAAGGGCATTAGTTATCCAACTAGTGTAACCAAGTCCCCGAACTCATTTAATCTCTAGTTCATAGGAGTAAGGTGATTTTCCCATCACCTTACTTAGGTTTCTAATCGACCTACCCTAAACCGATTAGTATCGACTCTTAGATAAAAATTATTTGCAAGTTCAAAACCTAAACCTTAAG